ACGCCATTCTTTTCCTCTCCAAAAATTACCCCTATAACATCCCTTCACCTCCCGTCACCCCAACTCAAAAACACACCCCCCCCCCTACTTGACCGAAATCGAATTATCTCCCTTATTTAAACTTGTAATAAAATTCTGAAAACGCTATTTTGTAAGTCTCGTAAAACTACTCTATTAACGATATTATTTTCGGATATATTTCCCTATCTTATTCCCAAAACTATATTCTCATCTGTTATAATTATTCCCTTATATATCCTACCCCCTATTCACACCAACTCGAAATTCGTCCCCCATTTCAACTCGTATCGAAATTCTGAAGAAGCCATTCTCTTCCGCTTGCAAAACTACCCTATTGACGATATCAAACTATTCCTCTACAATGTCCCCTTACTTCCCCTCATTCCCATCAAAATAACTGCCCTCGAAATTCTGAAGAAGCCATTCTCTTCCGCTTGCAAAACTACCCTATTGACGATATCAAACTATTCCTCTACAATGTCCCCTTACTTCCCCTCATTCCCATCAAAATAACTGCCCCCCCCCCCCCCCCCCCCAAACTCAACTGAATTCGAAATTCGCCTTCCATTTCACCTCGTATCAAAATTCCGAAGAAGCCATTCTCTTCCCCTTCAAAAACTACCCTATTAACGATATCGAACGCTCCTTATACATCACCTCTATCATAACTTATAATACCTCACTCAATATATTTGCTGCCTTACCTTTGCCACCCGACGGAAATCAAAGTAACTCACCCATTTCAATTTGTAACCCTAACCCTAAAGACACCATTCTCTTCTCCTCGTATTTCTCGTCATTTCCTGATGTCGAACGATAAATTCTGTCTGTTGCTGCACATGTTATACTTGGGGATAAAAATCGGGTCTTCCTGGAACCCCCCCAAACCACCACCCGTCTAAATCCGGAATATCTCTCTCGTTTCAAATCGTATCAGAAATACGAAGATGCCATTCCCTTCCCCTTGCAATCCTCTTTTAATACCACCCTCGAACGATAAATTCTGTTGCTTACTGCAAAACTTATTGCTCTCCTTATACCTGCCCCCCCCACCCATTGCCAGTCGTCTAAATCCGAAATAACTCTCTCGTTTCAAATCATATCAAAATTATGAAGACGCTATTTTGTTCCCCTCCAAATTCTCTTTCAGACGTGATGCCGAACGATAAATTCGGCCGCCTATTGCAATACTTATAGCCCCTCATCTGACATACCCTCCTCCCCCCTTCCGCCTGACCATATCCGGAATATCTCCACCGTTTGAATTCGTATCAAAAATCGGAGGACGCCATTTGATTCCCCTTGTAATTCTCTATCATTGACGATGACGAACGTTAAGATCGGGTTGTCGCTTCAAAAGTTATCACCCCTCAAGAACTATGCCTCCCTTCCACCCCCTGTCACCTACCACCCACCAAAATCCGAAATAACCAACCCAATTTGAATCGTACTGAAATTCAGAGTACGCCATTTTATTCCTCTTGAAACGCGCTTCAATTTGCCGTGTTGAACGTTAGATTCCGTCTGTCGATTGAGAAGTTATTGGCCTTCGAAAATTAAGGTCCACTGGCCCCCTTGCCACCAACCATCCGTTTAAATCCGCAATAACTAACTCACTTCTACTCGTATTAGAAATCGGAGGACGCCATTTTCTTCCCCTTGTAAATCTCTTTGAATTACGACATCGAACGTTACGCCTTGCCTCTCGGTCCGGGTTTTATACCACTTCCCGTTCCATGCCCTCTTCTTCTTAATCACCCATCGAAATCCGTTATAACACAATCATTTCAACTCGTATCAAAAATCGGAGGAGGCCATTCGATTCTGCTTGCAATTATCTTTCAATGGCGCTATCGAACGTTGAGTTCTGCGCACCGCTGCAAAAGTTATACCACGTCTCATATGTAGAACCCCTTTGCCCCTACCCACTGCTGCCCGTCTAAATCATAAATATCTTCACCATTTTAACTCGGATCACAAATCGGGATACGCCATTCGATTCCCATTGTAAATCTCTTCCATTAACGATGCCGACCGTTAAGTTTCGGCCGTCGCTGCAAAAGTTGGAATCCTTCTCACATGTTGCCATGGGGCCCCATTTCCTGGGCCCGGCCCAACAAATCCGAAATAACTTACTTGTTTCAAGCCGTATCAAAAATCGTAAGAGGCCATTCGACTCCTCTTGTAAATCTCTTTCAATGACGATACCGAACGTTAGCTTTCGACCGTAGCTGCAAAAGTTATAATCCTTCAAAGTAGGTGCTCCACCACACCCACTGATGCCCCAGCGAAATCTGCAATATCTCACCCGTCTCAACTCATATCACAAATCGGAGGACGTCATTTGATTCGTCTTGCAAATCTCTTTTATTAACGACATCGAACGCACCGTCTGCATGCTGCGTCAGGTTCTTACAATCCATCCTATAACATGCCCCCCCCAACCACCCCTCCCATGCATCGCCCGACTAGAACCGGAATGTCTCCACCATCTGAAGTCTGATCAACAATCAGAGTACGTCAATTTGTTCCCCTTGCAAAGCTGCACAAGAGACGTCAGCGAACATTTACATCGGTCGCGAGGCTGTCAACTTACAGTCCTTGCAAGAACGTGAGTTCGAAAATGGGCCATGGGACAAGCTCCCTACTCCTCCTCACCTGGCTGCCAGTTGCTCTGCTTCGTGAAGAAGACGCAGGAGTAGCGCGTGCCCTCGAAGGGTGCGATCCAGTGCTCGAGGACTGCAGAGCGGAACAGGACAACATCCCCTGGCTGGAAGGGAATCTTATAACCAAGGGCTGGCAGGCACAGCTCCCCTCCTTCGAACTCTCCAAAGCAGGCCATCGCAACCCAGCCATCCAGCACATCGTGGTTGTCCTTGTGTGGCCCAACCTGGGCGTTTATCAGGATCGCGAGGCAGTGCCAGCAGCTCCTGTTGCTGAACTTGAAGACCTCCAGCTCAGGCGTGGCTGCACACTCGCGGAGGTAGTTCTGCCTGTACTGCTCGTAGGCCCTGGGATCGATCTCCTGGAAGAGCCTCCCAATGGTCTGCGCGAGGGGGGCCATCTTCTTGTAGAGGGCCAGGGTGGCCCCGAAGCCATTTCCAGTCCTGCGCATGTCAGAGCAGATGGTGGGAGGCGAATTTGTCTGGCCTGTGGCGTGCCACAACCCAAGGTGGTAGACTCCCCACTTCTTCCCCTCGCGCTCAGCCTTCCTGGCCTGCTCCATCTCATGCCTCTTGTCACTGCTGGGCTTGGGGGGTGGCGCGAGCTCCGTGTACTGCTCAATGGCACCAGCCATGAGGCGGCAGAGGCCCTTGTTCCTGTCCGGGAGGCTCAGCCCCCCCCTCATGTAGACGAGGAGCTGCTCTGGGTCCTTGTCAGCAGAGTTGAAGACGGTGACGGGCTGGATGTCGAGGCCATCCTTCCCACCATCCTTGGGGATGCCCTGGAGCAGCGTGAGGTGCTTGCTGAGCTCGAGGCCCTGCTCCAGTGTGGTGGTGACCTTGGGGTTGGGTGGCGTCATGAGGTTGGTCCAGGCGAGGTCTGTGGTGATGACCCGGGCATTGCCGCGGAACTTGGCCTTCCAGTTATGGGAGAACTCCCTCCTCTCCTTCCACTCATATGGCGAGTGGGCTGTGTGGTGCTGGTGGCGCTTCTGGATGGAGGGTACTGGTGGCATGGTGTCGCGAGCTCAGGTCTTGATGGTACCTCACTATAAGATGGTATAGTCTAGGATCCCCAAAGGCAGATGACACAGGATGGTGTGCCCCTCTTGACACTCGAGACTGAGCTGTGTGCTGGCGTGAAGAAAGCGTGGAAAAATGTTGGGTGGTTGTTGCGCGAGCTCAGGTTTTGATGGTACCTCACTATAAGATGGTATAGTCTAGGATCCCCAAAGACAGATGACACAAGATGGTGTGCCCCTCTGCCACTCGAGACTGAGCTGTGTGCTGGCGTGAAGAAAGTGTGAAGAAATGTTGGGTGGTTGTTGCGAGAGCTCAGGTTTTGATGGTACCTCACTATAAGATGGTATAGTCTAGGATCCCCAAAGACAGATGACACAAGATGGTGTGCCCCTCTGCCACTCGAGACTGAGCTGTGTGCTGGCGTGAAGAAAGTGTGAAGAAATGCCGGGTGGTTGCCGCGCGAGAAGGAAAAAATGTGTAAAGGACTAAGTTTGGACTTGACGGTAGAAGTTCTGATATAGACTGAGACGAGCCACGCCCGCTAGCTGCGTGGCAACTCACATGACTGACCACCCCATCAAAATTGGGTTGAAAAAAAAAACGTCGAGATCCGAGGCCGGGAGGAGCATGGCTGCGTTCGTCTGGGCGAGGGCTACGCAGTTACATGAAAAGGGGGATGGATTTGATGGCATCTCGCTAAGAAAATGGCGATCTCGGTTAAAAAATGCCCCATCTTCTAACCCTGGTCGGGAGAGGCCATGGCAGTGGTGTGGACATGGGAGTTGCATGTTGGGATTCGTCCTTGCCAGTCTCACCTGGGTATGTAATTATAAGATAATCGTACGAGTATCAGAACTAGAGTATTGCCTCGAAATATCCCAAGGGCTAGTCTGGTATTCGAGCTATGGGGGTCTATAAACGCTTCCGATTAATTGGGGGTGATGGGGAGGGGGCAGCCCATGCCCTAAACATAGCAACGATCAATGTTCGGGAGTGTCACAACCAAACGCGGTTAGGCGAAAACCTTAAAAAGATGTCAACCCTACATCTCGAGTTCGACGTTTAATATACAGCTTATATTGCTGTAATAATATCATATGTATTGGCGGTATGTGTCATCGTCAGTAATTTAATGCAGTTCATATCTCGTCGAGGAGTGTGATTATTATAATCCGTTCCAATTTATTTAAATTGCAGAGAATAATATTTCTCAACTCACGACATAATTAATATGGCTCTATGGCTACAGTCTATATTATAAATACATGGCGCTACCAGTCGAACACCCATTCGCTAGTTTAATATGCCTCGAACTCGAGCAGCGCTGCTGCTGCGATCTTTACCCCCCAGATGCCCTTCCCACCTGCAAACTCGGCCACCTGCCCACACCATGACAGGAACACATCCACGTCATTCTAACTAACCCTAACACTCCGTCCTTCGACACCGCGAACAGCAGCAGGCACCAGCCCAGTATCTCGCCCATGGGCGTCTCCGTGTCCGGCCGCAGGTACTGCTCGCAGATGCTGTTGATGTGCTCGAGCGTGCTGCCGGCGCCCGACCTCTCGAGGTATGCGGCCGTGCTGAAGATGAGCAGCTGCACAGCCCAGATCAGGCCGGACAGGCAGCTGTTGAAGTTGCCCGGCTCCTTCCACGACTTGGTGCGTGGCTTGACGCTCAGCATCGCGCAGAAGCTGAGGAGCGGCGAGCTGAAGCGGTCGCCGCCGAACTCGTGGCAGACGAGGGCCATGCAGAGGGATCGGAGGGCGTCGTTCAGCGCTAAGCGGTCTCCGTCGGCAGCGCACTCCAGGGCGGCCTCCCAAGCTGTCGTCTGCTCGTCCGTCAGCCGGATCCGGTCCTCGGGGCACCTGCCCTGGTCCGCGCTCAGAGGTGGCGTGAAGTGGCTGCCGCAGTAGGCGACGCGGTAGCAGTACGCCATGAACTGCTTCCAGTACCCAAAGTTTGTGCGCAGTGTGGATGGCTCCTTCTTGGGGTCGAAGCCGCGCACCCTGCCTGCCCTGCAACTGGCTGGTGCCGATGAGGTAGGGGCGCCATGGAAGCGGCTCAGCGCGAGCTGCCTCGCACGTCATCATGCAGTCCGGCCCGTCGAAGCACCAGCCGTGCACCTCAGCGAGGATCTCGTCCATGACCTCGAGCATCAGGAACAGCTCGGGCTCTCCCTCATCTGCGCTCTTCGGCAGTGCAAAGGAGGCGTGCATCTCGTCCTTCTCTAGGCCCCGCACGTGGTTCTCGATGCCAGTCCGCCTCAGCCACGGGACCGCAGCCGAGGGGTGGCTGTCGAAGCCGTGCACCTTGTTGCCCTCCGTCTTGATGTCGTCCGCTACCATGGTCGCGTCCGCGTCGGCCAGGTCGAAGAAGGCCTGCTCCTGCGGCTCGAGGGCGATGGCGGCAGTAGCTGCGTCCCCTTCCGCCCTGTCGTCGTCTGTAACCACAAAGTACCGGACATGCTCGGTCTTTGCGAAGAAGGTCTGCACCGTGCATCTCTGCCACGCGCCACCCTCACTCTGCTGCGACGGCTTCTGCCCGTGCTCCCGGGACACGTGCGCCCTGATGGCCGGCCCGGACCGGGTCAGGGTCGGCCGGCTGTCGTCGCAGAGGATGCAGGAGAATGCCGGATGGCGGCGCAGTCCCTCGATGGCGATGCAGGGCTGGTCTGGCAGGGCGACCTGTCCCGGGGGCTGCAGCTCATGCGTCGCGAAGAGGTCGAGCAGGGTGCGCAGCTCCGGCCCCTTGAGGTCGTGGGGTGGGTGCCTCAGGTGCCACTCCTGGCTGGCGCGTGCGGGCATGAGGCAGGTCCCGCAGTCGCGGCAGAGCAGCACCCCGTGAGTTGCGAGGTAGGAGAAGCTGGCCGCCATCCTTCCCTTGCGCGAGCGGTGTGTGTGCGCTATTCGCCCTTCGTTGCATACTCTGTATGCGTGCTTGATGCGCCTGCGCCGTCCCGGGGGTCTCCCAATTTGCTGCACAATAATCGCTCCACAATGGCCCGTGCGCGCGCGAGCGACAGGGGTCGCTCGCGTGGGGATTCCCAATTTGCACTACAGATACGGCCGCTTCTAGGGGTAGGCTCAAACACAAATCGCATAGCACGCTGTCCGACCCTACACAGCTCACTCCCTCTACTACCCCATCAAAGTAGTGCCCTAATACTACTCGCCTGCACTCCCTGCTCTGGATATATTCCGTCATTGCATCCTCATCCACCTGCTCCACTGAATACTCGCTCATCAACCCTTGACTCTTTACCCCTACACTCTGTACTAGTGTGACGATTATCGACTCACTAACCTCTCCCTCTCTTCCTCCCCTTCCTGACTGTTGAGCAAAGCTCGTCAATCCATATGGCCTATCAATATGCACCACATATATGATCCCTGGAATATTAATTCCTGTCCCTAATGCTCCTGTCGCCACAATCCATCCTCCACTTCCTTGAGCCCACTTCTGTAGTGTTTCGCCCTTATCATCTGCGCGTGCCTTGTAAAATGAGCACTCTAAAGCACTGCTGATTAAGTCGCCAGTTGCATAGCTCCGTACATAAACCACTCCACGTTTCCCATCTGGCAAGTATAGTAGTCTTTCTAGTAATCGAAGTCCGACCGCAGATGCTGCTTCTTCCTTACTATCCTGCACCTGATATCGAATGGTCGGCCGTGCAGTGCTCCGTCGTAGTAGTACTGCATCCTCAATTAATAGCCTGTCTCGTAATACATCTTCTAGCTCAACCATCAATGTGGCTGTTAATGCTGTAAATGGACACTTTAAGTACCGTAGTTTCCACAGCTCTCGAAGCCGCTCTCGATATGATGTATCTGTAAATGCAACATGGCATTCATCAAAGAACATGTGAGCTAGCTGCCCATTCAACTCGTACCCCTTAGCCTCGTGGAGAAACTGCCCACTGACGGCCTGGTCAGCACTGACAACCAGCAGCTGCACCAACTCTTGACTACTATAATGATTACTATAGCTCCACTCTTTACAGTGCAGCCCAGCAGCCTGTCCTCGAGCCACGATATCTTCAACTAGTGCTGTGAATGGAACGACCACAATCACTGTCTGGTCAACAGCCATGGCAGCCACTGAAAAGAACAGCACTGACTTGCCACTGCTTGTGGGCAACACGATAATCGATGTGACTGGGGGCTGGTGAACAAGTTGTAGTGCTGCAGCTTGTCCTTCAGATCGTGGCTGCGCTTGTGGGCCATAGATCCGTCGCAACCCATCTAATGCCTTTGCCTTCACCCCATGCTTGCTCTCTCTCCTCTCTCGTTTGATGCCAACTGGTGTTAATTGCTGGCTGGCTTGTCGCCCATGCTTTCCTTTCCCCTCAGCCTGTGCCAACCCTAACAACTCGTGCCATGCTACTGAAGCTTGCTCATATGCTGTGATTAACTCTGGGCCTAGTCGATGCAAGAATGCTCCGTCAACTGCATAATGAGCTTGGGCTACTCTCTGCCCATGCCCTGATTGTCTGTTTAATGTTAGTACTAATTACCATAATGATTACTATAATAATTACTATAAACAATAGTACCATACTATGGTACTACCATAAATAGCGCTTACTATAATCATTACTATAAACTCACCTAACCATGATATGTCGGAATGTGTTCTGCTCCAACTCTTCTTCATCATCACCCTCTGCAAACTCTCCTTCATCCTCTTCATCGTCCTTCTCCCACGTCTTGCTTGCTCGTAGTAAATGCCATACAGCAATTCCAATGGCTACGTGTCGCCAGCTCTGCACTGTCAACCGTACACCTAGCCCCTTACTTGTTGCCTTGCTTAAAGCTTGCGTGAGCTCTTCTCCTGCCCATGGCCCTCGATTATCACCAAACAAGTACTCTGACTCTCGTTGGTCTAATGCCCTGCCAAATGGTCGGATATATATCAAGTACTGTGCTAACACTTGACTGACCTCATTGGGCAAGAACCGAACAATGTAATCTGTGTTTCCCCTCCTCTTTCTTGCCTTATCGTACATGGTTAAGAAGCACATCTGCCCATTAATGACGTATATGTTCCGCACTGAATACACACTGTTACTAACCTTGATCGATCCAATCTCTGGTCCTCGAGCTGGCTGGCCACCTGTGACATGCAAAGTAACCATCAACTTTCGTAAGAACTGACGCTCTTGATTCAAGTACGCCTGCTTCTGTGAGTCGTTCCATTTGTATGATCCATCGCCTGCTCTTTGAAGCAACTGCCACTCCTTGCTTCCCTTCCTTGCACGTTTAAGCAGATACTGATAACCTACATCCGTACGCTCTCGATTCTTAACATGGTTGATGAAGCTGTACTCAGACTGTCGAAATTTCGTGTTCCAAGCCATGCTGTCAACGATCTGGCTCAAATCTACCATGGGCAGCTCTGAATCAAACGCCAGATTGTATAGTAATCTTTGTAGTAATCCTATCAAGTCATGGCACATTTCCCTAACCTTTTCAAGCTCAACTCCCATTCCAAGATAATAAATCGTCTGTTCATCGCGTGACCAGTGGATGTTCGCTGGCGACTCATGCAGCTGGTTATACTTCTTCCCCATAGCTAATTGACTCAAGATGCTTGACGTTGGTGAGAATGAGCCTTCACAGAGATGGGTCCTCCGTAGCTTGTGGATTCGCTCGGGAATTGATTCAATATCCTCTTTGCTCTGGAGTCTTAATTCTGGCCATGGCTCTAATGGTACTGCGATCTCAAGCATAAGCAGCCGTGTGATCCATAACACACGTCCAAGTATTGGTGTGTATGCAAGTGGTGGATATAGCGATTTGGTAAGTGGATCGATCCCACGAACAGCTAAGTAATGCATCAATGGTGACTCGTACAGCCCAATCTTGCTAGTGTCCTGCATCAGGACTAGCATGCACAGTCGCATCAATTCGGCTGTGAGTAATGGATCCTGATCGTCTTCATTATTGGGTTCAGTTTGCAAGTGCGTATGGATCTGTTGGATTGACTGCCACTGAGCATGGGTGAATTCCACGCCAGTTTCTAATGAAGTCAGTATAGTAAATATTATAGCAATCATTATAGTAACCCTTCACACACGTTGCCAATGTGCACTTCGCGCAGATGGTTTTGGGTTATATACTATAGTAACTACTATAGTAACCATCTACTCACTGTGTAAAGCTGTGCGCTTCACGCAGATGGGTCTGGGTTTGATTTATCCTACCACACAACCCTCCACACACGTTGTGTGACGCCGTGCGCTTCGCGCAGATGGGTTTGGGTTTGATATATCCCACCCCCTCCACACACGTTTCGTGATGCTGTGCGCTTCGCGCACATGGGTCTGGGTTTGATATATCCTACCACCCAACCCTCCACACACGTTGCAAGACGCTGGTGCGCTTCGCGTGGACGGGTTTGGGTCTTCTATAGTAACTACTATAGTAAACACCCACACGGGTCTGGGTTTGGTATATCCTACCACCCAACCCTCCACACACGTTGCGGGACGCTGGTGCGCTTCGCGCGGATGGGTTGGGGTCTTCTATAGTAACTACTATAGTAAACACCCACACGAGTCTGGGTTTGATATATCCTATCACCCAACCCTCCACACTCGTTGACGCCGTGCGCTTTGCGCAGATGGGTTTGCCTCTTCCATAGTAACCACCATAGTAACCATCCACATACCTGTATCATCCTCCCAGTCAACTGTCGCCGTCCTCATCATGTAACAGATGAACCTCTGCCATACTGCACTACACTTATGAACCGACTGAACGCTCTGGTGAAGCTCGAATGGATGCTGGCTCGCAACCTCATTCTTTGGTGATGCCCACCACTTTAGTACATCCTTGTGGTCCATATTTGCTAGCGTATCAAGACAGCGTTCAAGAATCCGATCCCATGCACGTAACAGTCGTTGTAATTTGGTCTCCTTCTCCTCTGGCTCACGCGCGTATTTGTACGTCTGGATAATATCAACCTGTGACTCCTGAAGAACCTCGTTCCACCCAGTGTATCGTAGCCATGGGTCTAGCTCATCAGCCGCGGGCTTGGCTAGCAGTGTCAACCTGCGCTCCTGTGCTGCCTCCTTCCACTGCTCGATGTCGCGTATGATCTGGTCCTCAGCATCGCCTTCCTGGTTGCTGGCTTGCTCTTCCTCACTAACATCATCGCTAGACTGCTCTCCAACGTCGCGTACTAATATCATCAGCTGGTTACTATAATGATTACTATAAAGATTGCCAGAATCCAACTTACTCAATTGATGCGTCGCTTGCATTCCTTCAGCCTGTCTACTCTCATCCACAACCCAATATCGCTCCTTTCCATCTCGAAACCATGTCTGCAGCCGTACAGCCTGGAATAACTGGTTGTCATCCACCCGTTTCATTGAATGCTTATTTCGGCCATGATCCTTCATTACTCTTCGACTGATTGTATAATACCTACAATGCTGACATTGGAATCCATCAACTATTGGAATAACTGGCTGTGGTGGTAGTCCATCAACTGGTAATTGGATAGTTGAATAATTATAATCAAATGGAACCCTCTGAATATAGTGCTGTATCTGCTTTCGAACTTCCAGTTTCTCCTTATGGATTTTGCGGAAGTGCTCAGTTAGTCCTACACCGCTAACTGCTTTGCAGCAATGTGCACTCAAACAAACCAACACCTTATACTCAACGTTTAGTTGGATCAGATGGCTCAAAGTCACTGGAACTTGAATGGAATTGATGCTCTGACGTTCTGCCATGATGGAATTGATGGTAATAGCTATAGTAATCCATATAAAACGTAACCCTAGAGAATGCCGTTGTGCGCCCATCGGCAACTAGTGCCAAGACAAGTGCACGGGCCACATCTAACCTAAAATGGATGCCTTTGGGCGTCCAACGGCAGAGACATAAGGTTAGGAAGGAGGGAGGTCGCATGAGACCGGCCCTGGTACCTGGAGGGGCAGCGGGGAATAGTAGTTCCAAAAGTATCACGTGACGGACTCGCAGGATGATGAGAAGAGTCCTAAGAGTCCAGGACTCCGAGGACTCGAGTGAGTTCCCAGGAGTCCACTAGGCACGTGACGGACTCGCAGGATGAGAGAATAGTCCTAAGAGTCCAGGACTCCGAGGACTCGAGTGAGTTCCCAAGAGTCCACTAGGCACGACGCCACTATATAAGTAGATAGTATTTCCTTAGATAGGAGCTTCGTGCTCAACTCAATACAGTATTTGTTATATACTAGTAACGTGTTACTTGAAGCCTTTGTGTCTGATCACCTGCCTCCTCTGATAAGTAAACCTTTACGCAAGAGAACCTCTGTGTCTTCTATCGTTTAGAAGTCAGCGTTACACTTTGAGCACCACTTCTACGAGGTACCGGCTTACACACAAAGCAACATGTCTGTCGTCAGTTCGAAGGGGAAAACCCCCACCACGCCAACTTCGTCTCAGAGGTCTAAGCCTGAGAATGAAGAGATGCCCGATGCACCCACCATCAACGAACTCAAGGAAACTCTACGCGTCAAGTTGCCCGACACTTACTCCGGCAACCGAAAGGAACTTGAGGTGTTTTTGCTACAGGTCGAACTGTACCAGCACTTCAATGACGAGAAGTTTCCCACCCAGGAGAGCTATGCCCTGTGGACTGCATCCTACCTTAGGGGGGAAGCCCTGCGATGGATCGAACCATTCCTCAAGGATTATTTCAAATATGAAAGTACCAATGGAAGCATGACAACTACGCAGACTATGTTTGGCAGCTGGAATGGATTCTGTAAGGAAATCCGACGCATGTTCGGAGACATCGATGAGATTAAGACCGCAGAAGACCATCTGTTTGCACTTAAGCAGACTGGCAGCGCCCTCACATACTCCACAGAATTCCAGAGATACGGTAATCAGACAGGATGGGACGCCAGCGCACTCATCAGCCACTACCGACGTGGGCTGAAGAGCCATATACGTATGGAACTTGCCCGTTTGGAACAACAACCAACGGACATGGTAGCGCTAATCGAACATACGGTCCGAATCGACAATCGACTATACGAATTCCAGAAGGAACGTCGGACCTATGACAAGCCAAAGAAAAGTTACCCCTACCGGGGAAATGAGGGCAGACGACGGGATCAACACCCGCGAGACAACCGTTGGTCGGACCCAATGGAACTCGATGCCACGTTCAAACCTGGACGACCCCGTGACCCTAAGAAAGACAGACAATTCAAGGAACGACTCTGTTTTAACTGCGACAAGCCAGGCCACATGGCCCGAGACTGCAGACAGCCAAAGAAAGGGAACGGCGGACGCAAAGTCGGCAAACAACTCAATGCCACCTGGACAGGACAGTTGAACGCAACGTTTGTGAGCAAACAGGACTGGGGAATAAACGGCGAAAGCACCCCAGAAGACGAGAGCTCAGATGAAGGGTCGGAGGCAGAATCGTTCACCGTCTCGGAACAGGAAACCTTCGACGAACTCGCACCTACGGAACCAATGAGTCCACGGTGCAAGAGCGTAGTAAGACGCATGGCAAAACACGCCCACGCGAAGATTAGGGCCGAACGAGACAAGCCCAATGGCCAGAGGAAAATCCCCATGCTTAAAGACCTCTACGGGAACCTGTTACAGGAACTTCCGTTAAAATGCAAGGTGGACGACTGCAAGGATGACCTCTGGAGATACTACGACCAACTAACGAATACCCGCAGGCTGCTTGGCACGTCCCAAGACGTAGCTAAGTTGGAAGCCCAAGAAGCGGAAGAACTGGAGAAGGATGTCGAGCATATGGCTAAACTGAAGTATATGAAAAGCGTCAAACTTTACTACCAGGACCGCAGGAGAGCCCTGAAGAAGTACGACGAGAAAGCCAGAGATATGCTCCGACGGGAAAATGCGAGACCCACTCCACGCATCGAAAGGAGAGCCATGGAGCAACTAGACACGTTCTCCACGCCTCCGAGGGAAGATAGTGCATGGGTGAGAGGACAGCAGGAACTATCAACGACAGACGCAACAGAGACTGATCATCCCTGGCACACGTATGTCTACTGGGAGTATTGCAGCGAAGATGACTGCAAGCTCCACTGGAAAAAGAAACACCAGAATCAGTTGTTTCCCCGATCCTCACCCAGGATACACTTCAGAGACGCAGAGCAAGTTCACGCCCTCAGGCGAAGCCAGTATGAAGTGGACTTGCCTATCAAAAGCGAACAGGTATACGAGAAATACCCACATCTGCTAGACGAAGCAGAAGAGCGAGGGAAACGATCTCCCCAAGGACCACCATTGGAAACGGATGAATACTATCCTTCCTCGGACGAGTCAAAAAACTAGGAGTCCTCGACGGTAGGCCACCGGCGAGCGACATGAAGAGGCCTAGTACAGACCAGCTATGCGCCACGACGGGCAGCATGCAACTATATGTGGTCGCTAAGATACAACAGCGACACCTCCGAGCAATGATTGACTCAGGAGCGACGGGCAACTTTATGACAAAGAAAGTAGCAGACACGCAAGGTTTCAAGACGCAATTGAAAACCGAACCATACCCGTTAATGGTCATAGATGGAGAGCCCATCTCGACTAATGAAGGAATGGTGACCCACAAAACGGTCCCATTGGAAATGGTCATGCTACACGGGCACAAGGAAACGATTCAGTTTGACATCGTGCACATGGACAACCATGCATGCATCCTTGGTATGCCATGGCTCAAGAAACACAACCCCCAGATCGACTGGTGGAACGAGAAAGTTGTGATGAGCCAGTGCGCGTGTGAACAACGGACGGACACGCGACAACGGGAGAAACCCTCCCAGGGCCGGAAGGAGTTATGTGCAACCTCCGAGCTCGATGACCTAGCCCAGGCATCCTCACCGACGAGTATACCGGTGGAGTACAAGGAATACGAGCAATTATTCCAGGAAGGCCCTAAGAATGAGGCGCTTCCTAAGCACCAACCATGGGATCACGAGATACCTTTGGAGAAAGACAAGAGTCCACCGTTCGGACCAATATATCAGCTATCGGAAAAGGAGCTGAAGGTACTTAAGGAGTACATCGATGATAACCTAGCGAAAGGATTCATCAGACCATCCACATCACCAGCAGGAAGTCCGGTGCTTTTCGTACCAAAGAAAGACGGCTCCCTACGGTTATGTGTGGACTATTGAGCGTTGAACAACATCACAATCAAGGACAGGTATGCCCTGCCGTTAATCAACGAACTACACGATAGATTTCAAGGAGCAAAGATCTTCAGTAAGCTAGATCTGTGAGGAGCATACAACCTGATCCGAATCAAGGCTGGGGAAGAGTGGAAAACAGCATTCCGCACCCGCTATGGCCTATTCGAGTATCAAGTCATGCCCTTTGGGCTAACAAACGCACCCGCATCTATGCAACGACTGATGAATGATGCTTTGCACGAATACTTAGACATCTTTACCATTGTCTACCTAGACGATGTCCTGGTGTATTCAGCAACCAAGGAGGAGCATGTCAAGCATGTCAAACTCGTCCTGAAGAAACTAAAGGAGTACAGCTTACTCCTCAAACCAGAGAAGTGCGAGTTCCATAAAAACCAAGTCGAATTCTTGGGTTACATTATCGGAACGCACGGCATCAAGATGGACCAAGCAAAAGTAACGGCAGTGTTGGAATGGCCAACACCGACCACGGTCAAGGAAGTGCAAGCCTTCCTAGGCTTCGCCAACTTCTACCGAAGATTCATCTCGGGATATTCCAAGGTAGCTCAACCACTCACGGAGCTTACCAGAAAGGATCTCGAATTCAAATGGACGGACAAGGCAGAGGCTGCTTTCCAGGAACTTAAGACGAAGTTCACGGAAGCACCTATCCTTGCTACATTTGACCCTGCAAAGAAGATCATCCTCGAAACGGACTCTTCTGACTTCGCAATTGGAGCATGTCTGAATCAACCAGACGAGAACGGTAAGTTCAAACCAATCGCGTACTACTCTAGGAAACTGTCACCCGCGGAACTCAATTACGACATTCACGACAAGGAGCTACTGGCTATTGTCGTTGCCTTTGAGCAGTGGCGAGTATATCTTGAGGGACCCACCTACCCTGTGCAGGTATGGACGGATCACAAGAACCTCATATACTTCACCACGACCAAGGTTTTAAGCCGCAGACAAGTCCGCTGGGCAGAAACCCTCGCAGCCTACAACTTCACGATAACCTATCGCAAGGGCTCCGAGAATGCAAGAGCAGACGCTCTCAGCAGACGGACCGACTACGCCGGCCCAAAGGAAGAAAGACCTAGAGCAATTCTGAAGAAAACAGATGCAGGAATACAGTACAACGAGTTACTAGCGACGATCTCAGTCATCGAAGATACAGAACTCGAGGAAAGACTCAAGAA